ACAAAGTCTTGGCTTTCAGAATATTAAACTTGTTTCGGCAAATTCAGATGATAAATACGGAGTAACTTGACGTCGTCTCTGTCTGTCTGTCTGTCTGTCTGTCTGTCTGTCTGTCTGTCTGTAGAGTAAGCGTCCTTATTCCACTACTGTGTAAAGATAAAGTATAGTAAAGTCTATCTGTGCAGAGAGAGAAGTTACTCTTTTCTTTTGTGTCGTAATCCGAGCTTCTCTGTGCTTGTGATTGAAAGCAGACAAATGTTTTACTTCATCCTATCACTATGGAGTAGATGTTGCTTGCACGCGGTCAGAACACTGACACCACCGGCGTTTAGACCTTTTTGTTCCTTTTAATTAGAATGGGCTCAACTCACTTCTGCCACATCTGGAAGGCCACGGGACTGAAAGGAATCGTGGGAGTTGCAGTCCAGGAGGCTGGGTCCGAGCAGAGCCGTGCCGCTGGAGGGGCCGGAGGGGGTGAGGGTGGTCCGCTTGCCCTTATCAGGAGAGACCATGCTGGCTGCGAGGAGGAGAGACAGAGTGAAGGACCGGGACACAGGAAACAAAGTCAGCTTTATGGGGAAGAGGAAGTCTATCACTAGGGCGCTGTGATTGTGCATTAATAAGAGAATGAAAGTGGGAAGGCACAAAGTGTTCTTATTAAATTAATATTAAAGCTAGTATCTATTGTTTAACAGCCACACAGTTAGAACATGTGTTTTCAGTCTTGGACTTTTTTTATACCAGACAAAATGTATCCCAAATAAACCTCTTACAATTCCAACCCCTTTTTCTCTACGGGTTAATAAACAGGCGATGTTCAGGGGGAGATAATGGGCCACATAGAAGTGGTGTTTATCATCTACATGCTGGTACACTCAAGATTATAATAATGGCAATTTCCATGCTCTATTATATCTCATACGTTGTGTTCCTTTGCTACTCAAGAATTTATAAAAAGGATTGAGTTTCATACCACATTAAAACGGCAAGACTACAAAGCTTTTGCCCCCAAAATTCATATACTTTAAGAGGTTAATATGCTTATTATAGAGCGGTTTAGTCAAATTTATATTAACACAAAGGCAGTTGCACTCTGTAGGGTTCTTAATGTTCAGCTTTTCGGTCCAAGGCTTAAAGTTTAATCTGTAGTATCATCGCTTTGGACAGGAAACAAAGAAGATCTGTAAAGCATAGGCTAATGTTTGTCTTCATTTGAGAGAGAGAGAGACTCACAGAGGAGGCATCCCAGCGTGGAGTCAGACGAGTCGCTGGGGTACCACTGGGGGTCGTGGCTGGGCGATGGGATCCAGCCTCTGGACGGGCTGACGGAGGGGGACGACGACAACAGTTTGGAGCCGTCGTTGTTGCTCAGCTTAGCGGGAGAGAGGCCGGCCTCCTCGCCTGCAGCAGAACAGGCAAACAGCCATTAGATTACGCACAATGTCAAACAAACCAAGCGTCTCGGGAAAAACAATTCTCACTTCTGTACGAATCACTTTGAATGGTTTGGCTGATTTGGAGCCAATGCAGTAGCACTTAAAATGGTTTGGCTCATTACAGACGTATGGACTTGCAGGAGTATTGCTTGTTTTGAGTTTGTATGGTTAAATGCACTTATTATAAGTCGCTTTGGATAACCGTGTGAGCCAAATCAAATGTAATGTGGAAACACACCTGCACCGTAGTGGGCCGAGTTGATGGCGAGCTCGATGAGGGAGTCGCTGATGTGTGTGTGAGATTCTCCAGGAGTCTCTTCAGGGGGGCCGGGGAGAGAGATGTCCAGCAGCGAGGCCACGCTGGGGGGAGCGAGGAGAGAGTCCGCACCCCCGCTCACTCTGGGGGAAGGTGAGAGATGACCATTCTGTGAAAAGAAAAGACAGTTTATTCGATTTTCTAAGGTTTTATTTCTTGAAAAGATTCGTTTTTCAGCTGCCTGTTTTCATGTGCTTGTGTTTTCTACCCAGCTGGCCAGGCTTGGATGCAATAACATGACTCTTCCCTGTTGTCTCTTTCACTTATACTTATTTCTTGCACCTATCATTGTAAATAAGGTCTGCACAAGTCCCTGCACTGAAGTAGTATTTCTTCCTCCGCTTCACAAACACCAGAGCCTTGTAGGTTACACTTTCTGTGATCTGAATTCATATTGAGTTGGAAAACCAGCATTGCTCTGTTAAACAGCATCCATCTCATGTCAGTTTTAGTGCTATACATTTATAATTTACACTATTAACTACTATAGATAGGCATGAGTACTCAATATGAATGTCAGTATTCTTTCAACATAAAGCATTCAAATCTGTCTTGCTGATAGTTGTTGAGAAGGAACAACATATAAGATGGAAATTACTTAAAGGGGACCTATCGTGCAAAATGCACTTTTTGATGTCGTTTATACATAAACATGTGTCCCCGGTGCATCGGGGAACTCACGCAGCATCAGAAAATAAAACCCTCTCTCTTTTCCTCCGTACCCAAATCTCTAAAAACGGGGCTACAACGGAGCTGATCCAGATTTGCGTCCGATATGACGTAATATCGAAAATGTAGGCTGGCTTTACAAACACGGCCCTATCAGAAACGTTGCTATCAGAAACAATGCCCGACTGTTTTGGACGTGATATGGTCGGTGTTTACATTAGTATCGCTAACACTCGGAGCTAACCTGTACTGGAGAGCATGTGTGTGAAGAAGCAGGAAGTAAAAAGGAACTCACCTTGTGGTATAACCGGCAAGAGAGAAAGCCTTTGAGCTCCAAACTGTTTCAGAAATAATCCTTGATAATCCATGA